TTCCCTACAAACCCCACAAAGCTGGCTTTTGGCATGTTATGAAATATGAAAGCTTAATGATGGCATTATGTAAGCAGCTGTGCTTAGCAAAATTCATCCCAATATTCAGTTGTGTGAAGAGTAAGGCTGTGGGTCAAATGCTGTCCTGGTTTTTCTTTCACAGCAGCTCAGCTGTGAAAGAGCTGCTTGCTCCAGAAGAAAATAGGGATCTCTTTTGGTAATTTGTTTCCTTAAAACTTGCACTACTGGTACTACTGTGTGCAGTATTTCAGCAAGAACAAGAAAGATAATTTCTGAATGCCATATTAGATATTAGCTGTCTTCTGCAAAAACATGACCGAGAGAAGCTCCAGGGTTGGAGCTCCCGATAAAAATCCCCCACTTGCTCTACCTGCCCAGCATCTCAGTGTATTCAAATCCGCCCTGAGAAATGCTGCAATTTCCTAGAGATTCTTAACTAAAGATGGGATGTATAAAGCTGAGATTATCAAACATTAGATTTGAGGGGGGAAAAAAAATTAACTTCCAAAACTGACAAGGATATCCTGCGACAGTGGCTGAGGTTTGCCTTCTAGTTTTTCTCGTTTCTTCTCTGTTTGAATTGGAAAAGGACCAGGAGGGAGGCAGGATGCACCTGCTCATTTGTATAAGTGAACAGTAAAACAAAAATAAAAATTGTGGTCACTTGGAAAGTGGGTCCATGCACAAAAGCTCTGAAGTCACTTATGCATGCTGGTCTTCCAGTCTGAATTAATGCCTTTCAAATACAAGCACCAGTTGTATGAGTGAAAAATGGTGTTAGGCAAAATGAATAAAAACATAGGATCTCCAAAAGGGAACCTGTTGGGCACTATCTCCACAACAACTGAACCCTGGAAGTATTCTTAGAAAATACTCACTCCTGGGCTTAAGAAGTTGCTGTTAATGATGACTCAGAAGAATCACAAAAAAATTCAAACTGCTTGCCTGCAAGAAGAATATATTAAAAAATTCACACTGCGGTGTTTCTTTGACGAAATGCTGAGGTGCTCTGACTCCAGCAGGGACTCAAAAAGCTCTTGGTGAGATCCTTCCCTGCACTGCTCACAGAAGTTTAGCTGTGGATATTCACAAAACCAAGATGTCATTCCCTGATCTGAAAGACATTTCCAGACTGCCAAAATGCTCAGCTAGAAAGTCTTCTCACCAAACTAAATATCCCTGTTTCTGCTGTTGCTGCTCCCTGCTTAAGTAGAACATACCAAAAGGTGAACTGTCTACTTTATTCCCAGAGGAACAAGGAAAAGGAGAGCTTTTTTAATGAAAAATCTAACCTGGACCTGTGCAGGTATGAATACTTTGTGCAAATATGTTATTTATGTGCAAAGATGTTATTTAACATTGACTTGAATGTTTGGTATCACAGCATATTACTGCAGCTGACATGATGAAGCTAAGAAGCAGATTGAGCTTTCTCGGCTGCACATGGAAATGATTGCAGGGATTGC